GTCTACAGGGTCTCACTACACCGATTGGACTCATAGTGATTCTCTTGTTTTCAGCCTCCCAAGCGCTGGGATTATAGGCATGTGCCACCTTGCCCAGTCTCAATCACTGTCTCAGCACACCCCGGGGGTGGAGCCAGCATGGCACAAAGCCCAGTCCCTGCGTCTGCCTAAGCAGGTGCTTTAGTCTGCTGAGTTATCTGGCCGGCCCCCGGAAGAGGTCTTGACCAGCTCCTGGAGCTGCTATCCCAGGGAACCTGAGTCCCAGAGAGGAAGGGGCTGCATCAAATTCGCAGGTGGGGAGAAGGGGACTAGAAACGGACTTGCCCACTTTCTGCCTGTGACTTTCCAAAAAATGAGCATGGGAAGGGTTCAGCTCTGTAGCCTCATGTGAAGTGGCTCATGGAATTCGCCGTGTCCACCCAAGTGGACCACGTAGAAAAGGCCTGGATACTTGGATCTCTTCTAATCACAGAAGAGGTCAGTGCCTTTCGCATCAGATGTAAACATCAGACAGGTTGAAAGAAAATCCTTGGCGCCAGTTTTATCCTTGGTGGCCCAGTTCCATCCTGGTGGGAATTACTCTTGCTAGCTTGGATTTGTCATGAAATGACGCATGGCACTCAGGAGGCTGAGGCAGGAGAACCGTTACAAGTTCAAGACCCACCAAAACAAATGCAGGAGGACTGGCCAAATAGCTCGGTAGATTAAAGTGTCCTGCAAGCAGGTGCAGGGGCCAGGGACTCGATCCCCAGACCTGCCTTGCTGTGCCAGCCCTCCCCTGGGGCATGCTGAGACTGCAATTGAGACTGGGCATGGTGGCATGCCCCTGTAATCCCAGCTCTTGGGAGGCTGTAAACAGGTGGATGGCTATGAGTCCAATCTAGTAGTGAGACCTTAAACACCCTTAAAAAAAACAAAACCAAATGCCTGAGGGGTGGGGCAGCGACCCCCTTAGCTCAGGTGTCTTGGTGCCGAAGGCCGGGCTTGGGCAAGTCTTCAGGCTTGCTGTCCTTTCTCCTCCCTGGACGATGGCCCAGGACAGGGAGCCACATCTGCAGGCCTGGGCCTCCCCCACAGGCCTCTGGGAGTCTGCAGGCAGGCAGCGGGTCGTAGCGCAACGTCACCCCAGGCTGCTCCCCAGCCCCAGCCGCCTCAGCAGATGCGTGGCTCCCTCCACCAACACCTGGTCTCTGCTCGCCGTCAGTTCTTGGGAAAGCAGGCCTCTTTTTTGCAGGCCCCCCAGCACCGACGGCTTCTAGGCCATAAAGCAATCCCCTGCCACGTTCATTGCAAAACATTTAAAGCCTATAGACAGGCTGAAAGGGCAGAGCCGCGGGAGCTGTGCTGTCTGCCCAAGCGCAGAGCTGCTGATGCCAGCGCCGTCGCTCCTCTCGGTGTCTCCACATGGTAGCGACACAGAACACATGCACACACGTACACACAGGGTACATGGGTACAGCACCCCCTCACCTGCAGGGTGCACCCCAGGACCCCTGCATGCCGGAAGCCGGATAGCGCCAAGACCTACACAGAGCTGGGTTTCGCCAATCACACACACCTTTCACAGAGTTTGCTTTATGAACCAGGCACAGTAGGACACCACAGGGCTGACTCATCATCCAGATCAGTTATTACTGGATATACTGTAACAAGGGATACACGCAGAAGGGCTCTCGAAATACCTTACGGTTTACTTCTGGGATTCCCATTGTGCGTTTTCAGGCCGTGGTTGACTGCAGGAAAGCAGGACTTCTGGGATGATGGTGCCTGCACACGCAGCACATGTTCGTGAGCGGCACACGTGCATCTCCGTGGATGCACACCACGCATGCGTGCACACTCTGTTTTATTTGTTGAGACACATGAGAGTCAGGAGCAGATGCGGTAATGTCCCCTCCTCTTAGAGACACAATGTTCTCCTGCACAGTTGTGTCTGGGGCTCCCAGAGAGGCAGAGCCATGGATGTGTGTGGGAGGAGGCGTTCTAAGGAGCTGGCTCACACAGTCCACATCTGCCGTCCCAGGTGCAGATGAGCCGGAAGCCTCTGCTGGGGAACACCCTCCCCTGGGGTGGCCAGTTTATTTGTCCTGTTGAGGCCTTCCCCTGCTTGGATGAGGTCCACCCACCTGGTGAGGCGCAATTGGCTTTACACGAAGATCTCCAATTTAAACACAATCTCTTCTTTGGCTTTTTGAGACAATGTCCTCCTGTGTAGTCCAGGATGGCCTTGAACTCACTATGAAGCCCTAGAGGGGCTTCAGACTTGGAGTCCTCCTGCCTCCGCCTTCTGAGTGCTGGCAGTTCGGGCCGCACCACCATTTCCAGTGTCTCACTAAGCTGCTGCGTTGGCACACAAGATCAGCTGTCACCACAGTTACACCCAGGAAAAGACTGACGTGGTGCACACTGTTGAGGAGCGTCGCTCTCAGCTTGCCCGGACCATGCCTCTAATGTTCTTTCTGTATTTTCTCCAGGATCCATCTAGGATCCACATGTCCCACTCGGCGCTGTGTTTCCTGGTCTCCTTCACCTTCGTGACACTGGCCCTTCACAGCAGTTCGAGGCACCTGTGCTGCAGTGTGTCCCCAGCTGTGGACTTGCTGGCTGTTTGCTCCTTGGCGGATCCATTTAGACGCTGGCCACGCCTTTCCTGGCACACAGGTCAGTCTGACCCCTGGCCAGGTGGCTTTGCCAGGCTTCTCTGGATGAAGCTGCCTCCAGTTGCCGGGCTTAATCAGCAGGGCAATGCTCTGAGGTGAGTGACAGCCCAGTGGGCTCGAGACCTCTCCTGAAAGAAGGGAGGAGGGTGCCACTCCGTCTTCTCAGCTGGGAAAATGCACCCCATGGTAGTGGCTTCCGGGCCCTCTCCAGGCTGGCTCCAGTGCACGCTGTCACAGATGGCCTCCGCCAGCTGGGCAGGACAGGGAAGCCGCACTTCTGTCCTCTTAAGAGTGCTGGCTGGGACGGAGAGTTAGGCACACATACAGGCCGCAGGAAAAAGCATGACTGTTATTTTCAAGGTGAAAGTTATTTGCAAGTTGCCCAGGAGCCCTTGGGAAGAAATGACAGCCTTGAGGGCGGGCATGTGGCCAGGATGCGGCACTTTAGGTAGGGGACTTTGCACAAAGGCCAAAGAAACCTTTATGCACCTGCTGCTTTCAGGCGTCTCCAGTTCAAGCAGTCAGTACACTGGCGAGCCCTGTCCTGTGCGAGGTAAGTGGCTCTGGACTGGAAGCCACCAGAGCCTGGGAATAGCCTGGTCACCGGAAGTGAGGCTGGCAGCCATGAGGCATACTCAGTCGAGGTTTACGATTTTACCAGGTGCAAAGACTGCAGCTGCAAGCCTGTCCCGGGGCATTCAGGTCCAACTTCTCATGTCAGGATGAACTGGCCCTCTGACAGGCTCTGAGTACAATTCCCGAGAGAGGATAAGCAGTGTGGCCCGCGGAGCCACAGAGTCCACACCAGAGCTCATCCCCGCTCCACCGGGGAGAGCAGGGAAAGTGCGGCCCCCCCGAGGTGGAAGTAGCCTCCTGGGGCTCCTCTGTGCATGCTGCCGTCTGCTCTAATGTGGGGCTCGGGAAACCCAAGCCCAGGGGGGCAGCCCGAGGTTGCGCTGCCTCTGCCGGAGCTGGCATGTGGGTGCCTCTGTGGCCTGCGGCCCGCGGTGAGAGGGGTTCTGGCGCGTGTGCGGGGGGCGGGTAAGTAAGTGGTATTTGCCCGAGTAGAGAAAGGCACGTCCTACTCTCCATCATGTCCTTGTCCCTTCTCTCTTCAGACTGCAGCACAGGGTCTTGAAGCTCCCCCAGCCCGGCTCCGTTCTCTGCCCTTCCCTCACTTAAACACACTGGCCTTAGAGTTGTGCAGCCAGAGTCCCTGTCACAGCCCTACCAGGAGACCCTGGGTGGGACACTTCACCTTCTCTCCTCTCACCTGGAAAGTGGAGGCAGCTGGCAGTGGCCTTTGGGGCTCTGAGGGGAGGGGACCAAGCCCAGGGCACAGATAGCTCCAAAGTGGCCGACCCTCTGTGACTTTTGACAGTACACCTTCAAGAAAAGAGTTCTGCTTCTTTTGGATGCATTTTTCAATTTTTTTTCATTTTTTAATTGAGAAATAAATATGAATGAGACAGTTTCAAAGATGATTAATAGGACAGTTTCAATAATCAATACACTGTACCTTGTTATCTTCTTAGTGGTTATCCACAGTACAACAAGCAGACAGGATATCCTGCCCAAACACTATTAGTACACCTCTTTCTTCTCATTGAATTAAGCAAAAGTAGCTGTATATCTATCCTAACTATTTTGTATGTATATATATACAAAATGATCTTTCCTTTGTATCCCTTTTTTAATTTTTTAAAATTTTTTTGTCCTGTCAAAGGTAGATATTCTATTGGCATCTAAATACTGTAGGTGTTTGAATTCAGCTAAACAATCCAACACTGTCCAGCAGTCTATAATATTAGTGGGTTATCCTCAGAAGTTATTGACTTGAGCCTTTTATAGCTCATGGTATTAATATGACTTTACTTTATATACCTCATTCTTATACTTTTCTGCTGGATGGTTAAGACCAAGATATAGCAAGACCTATATAACAAGAAATGTAACTTTTGTATCTGATAAGCTCAGCCAAGTACCCTCAGGGCCCGGGTCCTGTGGTCATGTCCTGCGTGAGTCCAGCTGCAGACCTGGAGCCCGTAACAGCGCCCCCACAAGTCCAGCTGGAGGCCAGGAGCCCGTAACAGCGCCCCCACAAGTCCAGCCGCAGACCTGGAGCCCGTAACAGCGCCCCCACAAGTCCAGCCGCAGACCTGGAGCCCGTAACAGCGCCCCCACAAGTCCAGCTGGAGACCAGGAGCCCGTAACAGCGCCCCCTCAAGTCCAGCTGGAGGCCAGGAGCCCACAGCGATGTCTCACGCAGGCCTGTTTCATGGATCTGCACTGGGAAGCCCAAAGGTCAGTGGTGGAGGCTAGAAAGTCCGAGCCGCCGGGATGAAGGACCTGTGCCAGCAGGCGGAGGGGTCTGCACCGGAGCCAGGAAGCGATGCCCAAGGTGAGCACCAGCGTGCCCCTGAAAGTGCCACAGCCATCCTCAGTGACAGTGAGGTCCCAAGCTCGTCCAGTGATGAGAGAAGCCAAATTCCACCAGGAAAACCAATGCGACGGGCCTCTCCAGGACACTGAGCCTTGCACCATCTTGCCCCCTGGAGCCAGGAAGCGATGCTCAAGGTGAGGACCAGAGCTCCCCCGAAGTGACCCACAGCGACTTGCTCTTAGCAACGGTGAGGCCCCAAGCTCCTTCTCCAAGAAGCACAGCAAGTTCTACCAGGAAAGCTACCGTGACCAGGGCCCGGCAGAATAGCCCGGGAGACCCAGCAGCTTCCAACAGCTCCAACAGCTCCTAAAAACAGCTTCCCTAACAGCCTGCTCCAGTTTCTCCCCAGTTCTGCCTCTTATGCTGCTGGCAGCGATCCTCAGCCGGGCCTCCCACACCCAGCACCATGCTGGTTCGGCTCAGCTGAGTGGAACAAGTTGACCGACAGCTAGCAATCCACTACATTGCGTGATCGTGTCCCGCGAGGTGGGTTTTTTAACTGCATGTGAGATGGAAATCAGAGCCTGCTGGTGGCTGCTGCCTTTGTCACCTCCTTTCTTCAAGGCCGGCTAATGGGAAGGTTCCTGTATGTGCTCCCAACATGTTACCAGGTGACAGGGGTGGGGGTGGGGTCTTGCCTGCTCCCTTTGTATAGAGATCACAGCCAGGCAAATGTGGCTCTTCTAGTGTCAGCTCTGCAGGCTAAGGGCTGTCAACCCTTAGTGTCAGTGGCCCTCCTTGGTGTCAGCATATAGCTACCGGGAGCCTCAGCCTCTTCGGCCACAGAGATGGTGGCTCCTGTGGACTCTTGTTCTCCACCACCACTCTGCTGCTTGATGTCTTCAGTTTACCGGCCCCGGCTGCTCATGGCTTCAGCGTCACCGCTCCTGCTACTGTGGCATTGTCAGCTCTTAGTGCACCAGTTCAGCATTGCCTGCTCAAGGTAGGAATCGTGGGAAGGCAAGAACATGCCATCCAGAGGCAGCCTTGTCGGGATGCACGCTGTGGCAGGGCGGGGAGCGGCACCTGGGCTGAACCTGCTGAGGAGATGCAGAGGCTGCTTGGAAAGGAAAAGGTGAGCTCACACAGGCACAGCGCAGCCCCCTGCAGGCCACGGGTGGGGAGGAGCCCTCCTGGACCTGGTGAAGGGGGCCGCAGCGGGGCGGGGCCGGCTAGGCCGCTCCAGGGTGGGGTCCTGGGGTAGGGCTGGGACTGAAGCCTGCTGCAGCTTCCCAGCGCAGGGTGTTTGGGGCAGCTGTGGATGAAAAAGAAGCAGACCTCTTGGCGACTGTTGGGCCCTTCTTTCCTGCCTCATGTGTTTTTTATCCCTGAGACTTGGTTTGCTGTCTGCGCAGGCTTGCTGGCCTTCTGGGACTCTGCTGATCTGTAATGAAAGCAAATGCCACATATGGCTGGGCCCATGTGTCGCGTGTGTTCTCCATCCGTCACATGGGTGGGTGGGCAGAGGCTCCTAGGGGCCACACAGCTGAGCCACCCAGGGGAGCAGAGAGTCCAGATTTGGCACCCAGGCTGCTATGGGGTGGGGTGGATTGCGGGCCACTACTCCTGGCCTTGGCCTGGGAGGTGACACTTCTTGGAGAGAAGGGAGCAGAGCTGGTGATTGATTCACAGAAGTCACAGGTCACCCACCAGCCCACCTGCTGTGCAGCCCCCAGGGGACATTTTCCTGGAGGACAACAGAGCAAGCCCTGATCCATCTCAGGGCCCTGCCATGGCACCGTACTCCTGCAGGAAGGGCTGAAGCCCTCGCTGCCAGCCTCTGCCCACCTCGTGGCTCCCTCCCCCTGCACAGTGAGCCCACCCAGAGTGAGGCGTGGCTCCCTCTCTCCTCCCGCGCAGGGTCCTCAGCCTGGGATGCTGTCGCTTGCCATTAAACAGTGTCAGCAAACATCAAGGTGAGCAGAGACAAGCTCGCTGCTCACTGCTCAGGAAGGAGTGAGAGCTTCGTGGGGAGGCGCTGGCTCTGGGATGCAAGCCCAGCAGATGATGGTGGTGCCTGGCTCATCTGGCTGTGTGCCACCCTCCTCTTCAGTCCCAGCAGTGACACTAGCTGAGCAGTTCCCTCTTGGAACCTTGGTTTCTTCCTCTGTGACTGGGGTGCTGATGCCTTCACAGGAGACCAAGGCAGCTGGTCTTCACGGAAGAGCAAGCAATGGGCCAGCATGCAGGATGAGCTCAATACATGGTCCTTGCTGGGGTCTGTGTCTAGCTGTCCCCCCAAAGCCTCATGTAAGTCATGGGGTGGACTTCTAGAGTTTGTGATTAACTCATGATCCATTAGGATTATGGTGTGAGTGCTGCTGGGATTATGGGTGCGAGCGATGCTGGGATTATGGGTGCGAGCGATGCTGGGATTATGGGTGTGAGGGTTGCACCTGGTCTGGGCGGGCAGCCTGAGTACAACATAAGGGAGACAGGCTTGCTTGCTCTCTGTTGTTGCTGTTGCTGCTACTCCTCCTCTCTGCCACTACTCCTCTCATTTGCTCTTGCTGTTTTGCTGTATTCCGCCGCTGTGAACTCTCTGCTGCGTGCCAGTCTGTGTTGGAGCCAGCTTTGTATGGACTGAAGCCTCACAGTTTGGTTCACAAACTGTGAACCAAATAAGCCTTTCCTTCGTTATTTCTGGGTGTTGGGTATTTGTCCCAACAATGAGAGAAGAGTAACCGAGACGGTCCTTCTCATGATTCTAGGACCGAGGCTCAGGGCATGAGCTCAGCGCCTGTCCCCATCTGGGGACACGCCCTGGGTGTCAGCAGGACCCTTGGAGTGGAGGCTGGGCTGGGACCTTAAGACCATTAGAGGACCCTAGACTCCAGTCTCCTAGACTTTGGAGGTGCTCTGTCCCTAGAGCCTATGGGGGCGCTGAGCAGGCAGATGGCAACCGGCCAGCCACATACTGATGTCAGGTCTAGGAGCGTCCCTGACCTCTTCTGTGTGGTGGCAAAGGGGAGCAGAACTCGGGCTCTGTCGTAGGCAGCTTGTGCGAGGGCAGCAGAAGCACTGAAGACACCTAGGACTTGGAGACAGATTTATTCATATCAAAGGGCATGGATTGGAATCATTCCCAGAAAACCAGGCCCTGATCTCTGGTGGTCTAGAGCTTGCCTGGGCCAAGCAAGCCGGAAGTGCAGAGGCAGTGTGGCTTGTCAGTGGGGATTGGCTTATACGCCGTGCATCAGAGTGATCAGCTGTTTCTAAGAGACAGGGACAACCAGAACTGGAATAGAAACCGTTTACCTGGGCAACTAAGAAGCTGAAGTCTACTGGTGGAGTGGAGATTTGCTACACTTGTGGCCTGGGGGTGGGGTGGGGGGTGGGGTGGGGTGACAGATGTGCAAACAGGGACAGCATGGAGAGATGGTACCTGCAGGAGGCTGCATAAGGCCGGGTGCCCTACTTGTGAGGAGTGGGCATCCAGGCTGCCTTCCTGGAGGAGGTGACGTTCGGTGGGCATTGGTTTCTAAGATGAACAGGGGGCACCAGCTGGGGCAAAGCCACAGCATCTGGGGCCTAAAGCTGCCTGAAAGCTAGAGCCAGATGTCTGGGTGTTGGAGTGGAGAGGCAGGAGCACAGGTGGCTGGTGTCGGACAAGTCACTCCCTTTCCCCTAGGACTTCCTGGTGAGCAGGCCAGAGAGGGCAAGGGCGGTGTCCTGCTGTTGAGACAGGAAGTGTCCCCAGGTCACCCGTGGTTAGGGCAGAGCTGAGGTCAGAAGCCACATCTCCAGGTCTGCTACAGGAGGTGGAGCGAGCAGCCTGAGACCCAAGCTTCGGAGCAAGAGGGCTGTCTTTATCTTTTAGTGTTACTGTAAGAACAGCCTGTGAAGCTGGGCGTGGTGGCGCACCCAGAATCCCAGCACTTGGGAAGCTGAGGCAGGGGCATCACCGTGAGTTTCCTCTGAGCCTGAACTTCGGAGGAAAGGCCTATCTCAAAACCAAACCAAAACACAGCACAAAAAACAAAGAAGATGGCCCCGGACTGGGGCTTCATCAGCAGACATTGCTTTTACAGAGCTCTGGCGGCTGGACGTCTGGCATCTGGGTTCGAGGTTGGCCATAAGCTTCAGTTCATGGCAGAAGTGAAGACCCAGCGCTGGCCCGTTTGTCTCTGTCTCCCCGCAGCACGCACCATTACACTGGCCTTCTTGTGTATTTGAAATGTGCTGGTTTTACCAATGCAGTCAGCCCCTGGCAGCCCTTGCCCCAGCTCCTCTGCTCCCTGTTCCCACCCTGCTGATCTCCAGCGTGGATGAGGGGCATTGTACACCGCGAAAGACCTGTGCTGCAGAGAGGATAAAACACCCTCTAAGTGAACATTACTTTTATTTTTATTACAGGCATCAGAGCAAAGCTGCCTGTTGAAAAGAGCTAATTTAGTTAGATCAGGAATAAGTGTACTTGAGTTGAAAACTCATTCTCCTTTGTGTTCTTTTCTTTTGGGTATAATCAGGAGAAGGGCTTTTAAAATATTTTTAGTACAAATGTATTCTGATCCTGTGGTCAGTCGCCTCTTAGTGCTGTTGCCGAATGGGATCTCCACGTGATCACAAAATTGACTTGCTGGGACAACTTTGGAGTCCTTCCTGCCTTTCAGGCCACATTTGAGTTCATCAATTTGAAAAGGGAGGAGGGAAAATTGCCTGAGACGTTGCATGCGAAATCAGTTTGTCCATGGGGTGGCAGAGGCTCTTGCTGCAGACCTGACCTCTATCTACATAGAGTGAGAAATGGCTCCTGCAGCTTCAGTTCTCTCTCCTCTCATGTCTACCCCCATCCTGCTTACAGGATGTACTGTAACGCCCAAGCCTCCTACTGAGGCCAAGTTTCCCTGGAGGCTCAGCCCCTAACCCAGAACTGATGACCACACATCAGTCAGGCGCACTTTCCCATGAAACCTTGATCTCAGCAGAGGGCTTCTGGCCAATGTTCCCAATGGATCAGATGCAGCTTGTGGGTGGAAACCATCAGCCATCCCAGCCTCAGAACAGCTGAGACGAGAGAAGGGTGGAGGAAGGCGAAGGTGGTGGAGGTGAGCCACGGTGTAAAGAGCGCACGTAGCATGAAATCTGCCACCTTAATCATTTTTAAGTGCATGGCTCTGTGGCTTTAAGCACGCCCTCACATGACAGCTCTTCCTGTCTTATGAGACAGAAGCACCTTTTGTTTTTTCTTGTTTTATTTTGTTTTTGAGGTTGAGTCTCAGTGTGTAGCCCAAGCTGGCCTCAGAATCACCATAATCCTCCTGCCTCAGCCTCCTGGGTGCTGGGATTACAGGAGGTCTCCACCACGCCCAGCCTAAAACAGAAACTCTGCGTATGGCCGACTCCCCACTCCCCACCTCCAGGCCCTACACCCATCGCCGTGCTTTCTGTGTCTTGTCATTTTGACTTCTCTGGTCCCTCACATGAAGGACTTCCACAGTATTTGTCCTTTGGTGACCAGCTTGTCTCGCTGAACACAATGCCCTCGAGATTCATCCATGTCTAGTGCGTGTCAGAATGGCCTCCTTCTAAAGGCTGTGTCATATTCCATGGCATGTGTAGACCACACTGTGCATAGTGTCCCCCGTTTGTGGCCTTTGGTCCACCGTGCTTTCAGATATTTTCTACCTATTTATTTGTTATGTATTTGGTACAGGGTATACAGGGTGTTGAGGGTCTCTCTACATAGATTGGAATCATAGTGGTTCTCCTGTTTTCAGCCTCCCAAATGCTGGGATAACAGGTGCGCACCACCACGCCCAGTCCCAGTCGCCATCTCAGTGTGCCCCAGGAGCGGGGCCAGCATGGCATACCGGGGATCAGACCCGGCCACTGAGCTCTGCCTAAGCAGGCGCTTTAATCTGCTGAAGTATCTGGCCGGCCCCAGATCTTTTCTTTTTATTCTCCTTAAAAAGCCCCTCCTACCCCATTTGGCCCGCAACC